CTCTTACACATAATCTGATTTTTCTACATGGAAATTTACCCTTATTTTAATTTTTATTTCGTTTTTTTAATGCAGTACAGTGTTATCAACTATAGTCACCATTTTATACATTAGATCCTATTAAATTCACCTTATAGATGAAAGTTTGTATTCTTTCCCTGTTTCCTCCACTTTAATTTTTTAAATTATTGATTTTTAAAGAGAGAGAGAGAGATTTGACGCCCCACTTGTTTGCTTACTCATTGGTTGATTCTTGCATGTACCCTAACCCAGGATCAAACCTGCAACCTTGGCGTATCAGGATGGCGCTCTAACCAACTGAGCCGCCTGGCCAGGGCCTATTTTCTCCATTTTAAAGCCCTAAAATGCAACCACTTAACCAGGATATATTTTAGTGTTTATTGTTTCATTATTTCCTAATACATCATATGCCCTTTTTATCTTCAGATTCTGTCCTTCCTTTATTCCCTGGACACTTATTCCCCTCCTTACATCTCCACCTCGGGGATATTGATGCTTTCTCCTACTTCACATTGCACAGGTGCAGCTCTGGGCGCAGGCGGGCTTCCCAAGAGGCTCGCTGCCCTCTCCAGGGAGGTGGGCCACTCCTGCCAGCGTCCCTGAGGCCTTCAATACCTGCCTATATACTTCACCACCGCATGCCCCCATCTCTCTCCCTCCTCTCCCCCAAAACACACTTCTCCTTAGCCTCTCTCCCTCTCTCTCTCCTTCCTTCCCTTCATCCTTCCAAGAATCTCAGGTCTTTCCTTTCCTTGCTTGTTTGGTCAGAACTTCCCTTACCATCCAGGTGGCATTAAGTCTCCCCTTTCTGTAGAGTCACAATGATGATACGGTTCCAGGAGCACAAGATTTACAGTGGGGAACTTATAGAAAGAATCGATTTCCGTTCCCCAGGCATTCTCTTGAGTGTGATATCATCTGAAGATCTCACATCATCTTTACGTCAATGCTGGTATACTAACATTTGATCCAGAAATGACAGAGAAACCTGGAAATCTACCTTCTCCTTAAAAATCACCCAGATTTGCCCAGCCAGGCGTGGCTCAGCTGTTGAGCGTCGACCTAGGATCCAGGCGATCGGGGTTCGATTCCCAGTCAGGGCACATGCCCGGGTTGCGGGCTGCAGTCAATCAATGACTCTCTCATCATTGATGTTTCTATCTCTCTCTCTCTCCCTCTCCTTTCTTCTCTCTGAAATCAATAAAGATATATCTTTTAAAAAAATCACCCAGATTTGAGAGGATTACCCAAAGTGTTATTATACTGTGGGACAGAGAATGTGGTCTCCAAGCAAATGCAGCAGATACAAGCTTCCCTCCAGGTCTAGGGAAGGCTCTGGGGCTGATGGGCGAGAACACCATGAAATGCAAAACCGTGGAAAGGCATCTGGAAAACAACCCAGCTCTGGAGGAACTGTGGCCTCATACCCAGGTGAAGTGGACTCCATGTTTTCCAAGAAGGACTCACTGAGATCAGAGACATGCTGTTTGCTGACGAGGTGCCAGCCACTGCCTGCCCTGGTGTCATAGCTCTGTGCGAAGTCACACGGTCCGCCCAGAACACTGGTCAGAACCTGGGAAAACGACCTCTTTCAGCCTTGGGCATGACAGCCAAGGTCTCAGGGGCACCCCTGAAAGCCCGAGGCATGTGCCCTGATTAAAACTGGACACGAAATGAAATACGGCAGAGCCATATTGCAGCACATGTTGAGTGTCCCCACGTTCCCCTTCAGGTTCATGACCCAGCAGGTGTCTGACAAAAGCAGCATCCACAACCCCAAAATGCCTGACATTCTTGCTTGCTATAGGGAAGCCAAAGTGCTGTCAGAGTTTGTCTGTGGGTTGGTTAACCCAAATGTTGCATCAGCGCCCCACCCTAGCATCAGTGGGTACAAGTGGGATCTCACTGTGACGGTGGGGATCAATTCCATCTTTGAAGTGCTTTCGGACTGGCAATGCTTTGCAGAAACAAATGCAAAGGAAATCAAAAGCTCACAGTAGAAAAATAATTAAGCATACAAGAAAACAAGGCACAGTGAGTGAGAACAGCTGAAACAACCAATACACAAAACGTATCTGCAAGATTTCAGATATTGGAATTCTCAACACAGAATATAAAATTACTGTGATTATTATGCTCAAAGAAATGATAGACTAATTTTAAAATACCTGCAGGGAACAGAAGACAACTTTCTGAAGAAATTTGCTTTGTTGGCATTAATCATCTTTTAATGCAAATTGATTTAGTAAACAGAGTCAAATTGCCAAGATCTGGAATGCTTAGCCAAGGTATAAGGTCTGTGCTGAGTGGGAAATAACACGTTGAGCATTACACTCTTCACAAGCCCTCGGGGTTGTTGAAAGAAACTGTCACAAAATCCTACCATCGGGCTGACAAGAGACTTGAAGACTAAAACTTTGGGGCTTGAGAAAATTGTTCCCCTCTTATGTTGCCAATGGGAGTGTGACCTGGTGCCAAATAGGGAGCTGTTAGGCAAATTATGCATCGCCACGGGAGAGGACGCTGGGCACCGGGAGACGTGTGCCAAATGCAGCCAGGTCCTGGGCTACTGACTTTATTTAACCTCCCAGCCTGTTTTCCTATTTCAGTGACGATAGTAGAATCTACCCTGAAGCATTACTGTAAGAAAGAAATAGGATAAAATATACTAAGTGTTTAATCAGTGTTTGCTACGTAGTGGACTCAGTAAATGACAGCTGCTCTTGTTTATTCCAAAGGCAACGTAGCCCCGGCCAGTTTGGCTCCGTGGTTATAGTGTCGACCGGTGGACTGACGGGTCCAGGGTTCAGGTCCAGCTGAGGGCACGTGCCTCAGGTGCAGGCTCCGTCCCCGGCCCCGGTGGGCTCAGCGCGTGTGCGGGAGGCAGCCGATCAGTGTCTCTCACATCGATGTTTCTCTCTCTCTCCCTCCCACTCTCTCTGAGAAGCCATGGAAACAATGTCCTTGGACAAGGATTAAAAAACAAAAAGGCAATGTCAAACAATAAAATAGCACCTCAGAAAGTTGGCTATTTGACGGGGAACAATTTCTCCACCTTAAGGCAACAATTTTATCTTTTTTGTTTCACTTTTAGATTTTGTTCATATTTGCAATTATGGTGTACATGTACTTATATATATATATAATATGTATATTATATAACATATAATATGTACTATAAAATATATATTATATATTATAAAATTATATATATTATAAGATTATATACATAATATATATTATATAATATATAATTTTAAAATTGAGAGTAATTCTAAAGTTGCAAGGTTAAAATAATACAACACCCCACATACTTTTTATCATATTATCTATAAATCTTTTATTTCCCTTGCTTGTATTTGCTCTCCCTCACTCCTGTGTGTGCACCTGTGTATGATTTATATACATGCACACATGGATATGTAGATGTACATATACATTGTAAGTCTAGTATGGCTGCCATAACAAAGTACACAGACTGGGCAACTTAAACAACAAAGAAGTATTTTCTCATAGTTCTGGAAGCTAGAAATCCAAGGCTGAGGTGGCAGCACGGTCGGTTTCGTCAGGTCTCTTCTCTTAGCTTGTAGGTGGCTGTCTTCTCCGTGTCCTCATGTGGTCTCTCCTCTGTACACGTCTTAGTCTCTTCTTCATAAAAGACCAGTCATATTAGATTAGGACCCTCTCCTAAGCCACCTTAATTACTTTAAGGACTTTCTCTCTAAATAGTAATATTCTTTTTATTTTTGAAAGTATTACAAATGCCCCCCTTTTTTGCCCATTGATCCCCTCCACCCTACAACCCCCCTTTTCCAGGCCTTGACCACACTATTGTCTGTGTCCGTGGGTTATGCATATAAGTTCTTAGGTTAATCTCTCCTCACCCACCCCTGCCTTCCCTCTGAGATTCGTCTGTGTTAAAGAGTAAAACTCTTTAGAGGAAACATGTCTACTGTGATGACCACTTTATTCCTAGTATGTATCATAGTGAGCTATATGTAACAAGCTTAAACATTTGAACCGGAAAAAAAGTTTGCATAAAAATCAGTAGTTTATATATATGCTTTATGAATGTTTCCCTCCAAAAAACACAAATTAAAAAAAAAAAAAATCCTCCATTTTATGTTAAAAAAAAAGACTGAAGGAAATTTCTTAAATTTCTTTATGGGTGGTGGGATTGTCAGTATTTTTTATGTTGTTTTTCTTACATCTTAGAAAAAATAGATTAAAACCTACTAATGCCAACAAACGACCTATCAAGTCTAAAAGGAGTGTAAACATACAGATGTTTACAACTACCACTTACAAGACTATCTGCTTCCATTCTCCTTACCCCTCCCCTACAAAACTGAAAGGTTTGTGCAAGCAGGGGCTTAGGGACAGCATGCCTTTCTCCAAAACCCTAGAGCAGAATTCTGAGGTGGTCATTAGATCACACAGGGAATCCTCAGAACCAAATCTGGAGGGAGCTGGGAGAGCCCTCTGCTGGGGAAATAAGAAAATGCAGCCACCCCAAAGAGTCTTGGCTGAATTGTAAAGGGCACTTAGGGCCCTTATGGCAAGAGGGCACTCAAAAGGTATTCGCTGAAAAAAATGAATTTTTAAAGTTAAAACATCATTTTGAAAGCTGAAGTGTAAATGTTTATTTTGATAAATCTTGAGTACTTGCTTACAATCTCTGAGCTTCAATTTCTCATCTGTAAAGCACAGAAAGGTAAAAAAATGACCTCAGAAGGTCATTTTGAAAACTGTGAAAAAATGCAGCGACAGTAAATGCTTAATAAGTGACAGCTATTATTTCAGCTTTTACTCACATTTCATAACCTTTGTGGTAATCATTTTACTTTTTGGAACAATTTCTCCAGTGTTTGTAAAGGACTCTAAAGAATCTTAGAGATTGCATCTAAGAAAACCGTGTGTGTGTCTGTGTATTAAAAAGCATGATAGACGGCTAAAAACCATGAAAACAAACTTTGAGATTTGTTCACTGAAAATGTTTATTAAGATGTTAATGTTTTATATAGTTGGTTCAATATTTGTATAATTTAAAACTCTTTTGAGTTGCCCCTGAATCATCCAGATGTCTACAATATAGACATGTACATAAACTACTATACTTCCTGATACTTAACATACTCAGATTTCTCTAACTTCCATTTACCAGACAAGTAAAACATTAATCTTTCAAAGTTACACCTTTAAGGAGTTCCTATTCCTCCAAGTTTTTTTTCCTCCAAGTTAAAAAAAAACTTTAAACCGTCTTAAAAGAGGAAGCTGAAACTCCCAAATCAAAAGCCTTAATCTGCCACTCACATGTATACATATATCAAATAATCATGATGTACACTTTAAATATCTTACAACTTTTGTCAATTATACCTAATAAAGCTAAAAAAATTAAATCAAACACAAAAAACCTTAGTCTGAACCAACACTAAGAAACAGAGCAATCGAAGAGGATATTTTTTATTCATCACTCTGAGCAAAAATACAGAATATATTATTACTTCATTTTCCCATAAAGAGAATGTAGTTCGTATTTAGAGAAATAAAAAATTAGCTGTCAGGATTTGCTTTTGGAGCATGATCAATAAGCTCCTTATCAATGGTTGGATATTGAAACCAGGGACCGTCACCTCTCGCACGCATTAATCTTCGTACTTCCAGCTCCTTTAACCTGTAACAAATGAAATAGCAATATTGTGATTCTAACATTTCCAAATACAAATTTAATGAATTACCACCATAGAAAACAATCACTAGAGAGCTTTTTGCTTTATGTAAGGATAATGTCCTTCTACAGATCCATATGTATGCATAAAAGAGATACATACCTATAAGCAAAATTTAGGACTTATTTTTTACTTTTATTATCTTGCTTATACAGTTAGCCAACAAGTATTGTTTTTAATCACAAAACATTACTTGAATTGGTAATCAGCTCTCTCCTTCTGTCCCTGCTTTGTCGGGACAGATGACTTTCCCCTGAATTGTGGTAATGCATGTACTGTCTTTAATGCCTACTATTCCGGCTGTGTGCTGTGCCAAGTGCTAGGAATTCAAACATGAAGATGCCTTCTTGGAGGCGCTCACATCCCCTTGCTCATACTGGTTGTCCATCACCATTAGACAGAAAACCTGTTGAGAGCAGGAATGGTATCTTATTTACCAGCCACCTGTGTCACACTGAGCCTGGTCAACATCAGACAACCGGTATTTGTAAAGAAAAGAAGAAAGAAAAGTCAGGATTAAGAAAAACAATGTCCAACTCTAGGCCCTCATTCTTCACAAATGAATCATCTCTACTCTCTAAAGGTCCTTTCCTCTCTTACAGCCAAGCCTTTGTTCAAACTACCACATTCCTAAAGAGTCCCTCTCTATTGAACCTTTTATTTTAGTTTTATAGACTACATATCAACTTCTTCATGACTATAAATTTATCACACTCAAATAATTCACTTTATTCACCTTGACCAGCTCACTAATCCTAGGTAGGAGAGATTATATACCTTTGTGACTGTGTATCTAGCAGAGCACATCTATCTTTTATTTAGGATTAATCATCATCGTTTTCCTTTTCTATTCTTTAGAATATAATTATCCAAAACCCAAATAATTAAAACATTCACAAAAGAAGACTGGTTAAATAAGTTATGGTTAACCCATAAAATTTTTAGGACAATTATTCACCTGAGGAAAATCTATATACAGTAACATGGAAGGAGATGATAGATACACCTTTAGGTTGAAAAAGCAAGGTAAGAAATGAGTGTGTAGCACCTTCCCACTTCATTAAAAGAAGAACGTAATGATTTGTGACCATGCATATGTACACATGCACAAGGTATTAAAAAACCTGGAGAACTAAAGAAAACAGTTATCTCTGGGGGAGTCAATCATGGGAGATCATTCCTTTCTATTTTATCTCTCTTTATACTTCGGTTTTTCAAATACCTAAACATACACTTTATAAAAACTGTAGGTACTCCTGATTGCACGCTCACACTGGCATCTTTCCTCTGGGGGTAGAAATAGGGGTATTGGTTTTGTTTTCACTTTGTTTATTTTGAAACTGTTTAGGATCTCCGTATTTCTAAAGAATTCTGGGATCTGGTCTTTTAATTGGAACTCACAGGTATATGTCTGAAGTTCAACAAAGTCCAATGTTACTAAGAATAAGCCATATTGTTGTTCCATACTCATAAATACTTAATGACGGCTCTATGTGGTAACTATAAATACATGTAATTACATATTTAGAAAATATGTCAATCATGTATTCTTTTAATCATTAAAATACTTTTCAACAGCATAGCAGTTTTTATAAACTACAAAGATTAAAACAGAATGAACAGAAAGCAGATCAATGGTAGTCTGTGGCCAAGAGCAAGGGAAGGGCTGACTGGAAGGGCAGGAAAGAGGCTCACTCACTGGGTGATTGAAGTGACCTTGACAGTGGTGGTTACCCAGCTGTATACTTTTGTCAAACCCCCACTGAACTTAATGTGTACATTTATTGTATGTAGACTCACTCCAAACACCTAAATAAGTCTCAGATAACATAAAATTTAAAAGTAGCTGGAGGAAACACGAGTGACCATTTAAAAAAATAATTTTGGACTTATATATTTACTTACTTAGTTACTATCAGAGACCTATATATAACACAAAATCTCAGAAGCTAAAGAAAAACACTGGCAAACCTGACAACAGTTAAATGAGTAAATAAATATAAAATAATTAAAGCAATGTTACACGGCAGTGTTCAAAACATATTAGCTACTATTAATTTTTGTTATCTGAAACATAAAAACACTTCCATGTTGCAAAACATTCAACATTGTCAAAAGACAAATGACAAGCTAAGAAAACATATCTACCAAAAAGACCCAAAAATTAATTTAATTAGTGTATAGATGAGTAAAAAAATGGGCAATTTATAGAAAAAGAAATGTAAACAACCAATAGATATATGAAAAAACACTCAACTTTACAAAAAATACAAAATGGAAATTATGAGATAACATTTTTCAACTATCTCATCAGCAAAAATGTTTAGGTTTGATAAATTCCATTACAAGGAAAGCTATGGAGGAACAGAAATTATCACGCACTGGTGACAGAGAAGACAACTGGCAAACTTTTTGGAAGAGTTTAGCAATATACATCTAAAATTTAAAACATATAACATTTGGCTTATCAAAACCACTGCTAGAAATTCCAGATACACTGAATAAATATGCAAAAATATATGTAAGAGATATTCACCACAGCACTTTGCAGAATATTAAACAAATTGAAAAGAACCTAAGTACCGACAATAGGAAACTGGTAAAAAATTAAGGCACATCCATCCAGTGAAATATATGATGCAGCCATTAAAAAGAGGACATATATACCATCAGAAAAAGATCACCAAGATAGCTTTAAGTGAAACGAAGACAAGGTGCAGAACAATGTTTATAAGGGGATTCCACTGTGTTAATATATTTTTAAATGATACATAAAAAAAAATATATATATATATATATATATATATATGTGTGTGTGTGTGTGTGTTTTAAGTTTTTAAAAAAATGTTTTTATTGATTTCAGAGAGAAGAAGTGAGAGGAAGAGAGAGATAGAAACATCAGTGATCATGGAGAGTCATTGATCGGTCACCTCCTGCACGCCCCCCACTGGGCATCAGGCCCGCAACCCGGGCATGTGCCCTGACCGGGAATCGAACTGCAATCTCCTGAATCATATGTCAGTGCTCAACCTCTGAACTACATTGGCCGGGCTAAAATATATTTTTTGATGCATAAAATTTGTTTCTAGGAACATATATAAGAAATCATTAAATAGTGGTCACCTCTAAGGATAGACTGGGCGCAGGAGGAAAAGGAACTGGGGGAGGGGAGGTGGGAGGAGAGGAGTGCCTTGCTCTTAAAAGAGTACAGTATTTTTAAAAAGAATTACTTTTAATCTGACAGATATTATCTCCTAATTGTTTCCTAGTCTCCAGCTCACAGTCTCTACTCCAAACAGGCTAATTCTCACTCATCTTCCTTCTTTTACATAGAGTAGCCTATAGCATTGAAATAGTTTTATTCATTTTATTATGATTTGACCATAGTAAGGATTTTCTTCCCACTCCCCTCACCCCTTTTACCGTAATTCAGCCTTTTCAGCTTCAATTTGAAGGATAGCCATTGTTCGTTCATAATTCTTTTCAGGACTGTCATAGAAATTTCGGGCAATCCATCTTGATATAGGATGCTACAAGAGAAAATTTGTGTAATATTAGTTTCTGAACAGTATTTTGCTTTTCCAGCTCACTATTCTTTAAAATGATAATCTCAGATAAACCAGTAACACTATGTTCCAACTACCTTATCCACTAGGTGGATACTATTTTTGTTCCCATTTTACAGATGAGCAAATTGTACAAATTTATAGTTACTAAGTGACAGCATCTGGACTCAAGCCAGGTCTGTCTGATTCTGAAACCTGTGCTGAGTATCTAAAGTGGCAGATTTAGGAGCAAAACCCAGGGTTTTGTGATCCAAAATATGGAGATCTTTCTATCCGTTAGGAAAGATAAACTAATCGTATGGCTTACCTTGCTGACCAGTCATGAGTATACACGTTTCCATGTCTGAATGTTGCTGACCAGTCACGAGATAACTCGTATCTGTACTTACACTAATTTAAGTAATTTTAAACACCTTGTTGACTGACCGCTCATGACAGAAAAATAGCCGGCCACATGAGCAAGCTCTGGCTTGAAATAGCCAATCAGCAAGATGTTAAAATTTAATAATGAAGTATTTCTTCCTATGATATATTTCACTCAGAAAGTAAAACATGAAAGGATATACTCCAATAAGGCCACTCACTACAACACTTATAAAAACAAGTAACAGAATTAATTTTGGGTTTTAGTAGCAGTGAGTGTGGTAAAATGACTAATGAACAGTAGTCATTTTAGGTTCTGGAGGCAAGACTACCTGGGTTCAAATACTGACCCTGCCTCTTGGACAGGTCACTGAATCTCCAGTTTCCTTACCTCTGAAGTGGGAATAATACAGTACCTTTTATATGGAGTGAAACATCTGCAAAGCACCACAGTGCCTGATACACAGTAGGTGCTCAATAAATGACAGCCAGCACTCGTATTGATAAAATCTTTCCTGTGGCACTGAACTTGGGATAAACTGGGACTGTTATTCTGCTAGTCCAAGAACACACGTCATCCTTTAAAAAACCATAGAGCTTAAAATAATAAAACAATACAGAAAATAACCAAAAGAAGCTCCTTATAAAAAGTGAGCACAGCCCTAGCCGGTTTGGCTCAGTGGTTAGTGTCGGCCTGTGGACTGAAGGGTCTCACGTTCACTTCCAGCCAAGGGCATGAACCTCAGCTGCAGGCTCCATCCCTGGCCCCCATCGGGTGGGAGTGTGCAGGAGGCAACCAATCAATGTGTCTCTCTCACATCAATGTTTCTCTCCCTCTCTCTCCCCACACCCCTCCACTCTCTCTATAAAGCAATGGAAAAAATATCCTCCAGTGAGGTTTAAAAAAAAAGAAAGTGAGCACAAAATGTATTCATCTACTTGATATCAAAAACTGAATATAAAACTATCTTAATTGCCAAATTAAGACATTAATCAGTGCACTGACAGGACACTTGAGAGAAAGCTAACTTCTGGTGACTTCCACCAACCTTGAAATACTCCCAGTGCTCCGGGATGTAGCCTTCTGGAATTTCAGCTAACTCAGCTTCCCCTTGGGAGAGAAAATAGTGATGTTCAACTTCAGCATCAGGAGCGTATAATATTAAGTCTGCACTATTGAAGCAAGAAGGCAACCTCTTGAGGTTTTAAAGTGACCTTTTATTTGTATCAACGAAGATATCTAATATTTTAAATTCACTTCAATCTGGTTGAAAATCCATTCAGCAGACATTTTTAGATGTCTTCTATATGCAAGGCACTGTCTGAAGGATTAGATGAGTTTTTCATTTTGTGTCTATACAGTATACCAAGGTATAATAAAAGACATATTATTCCTTTTGGTTTTCCCAATACCAACTAGACAAAACATTTTAGGATTCAAGATGTTAGCAGTGCTTTGAGTAGAATTTCCCATAAAAATCTAATGTTGACTGTCATCCACAATTCCATTCTTTTTTAAGATTATAATTTTATGTGTTCTAAGACGGTAAAAACACTCTGCCACCCCTCAGCCTCCCTTCCATGTATCTCTTTCTGTTTTCCTTATTCTGTCTGGTCAAAGCTGGGTTTGAGAAATGAGGGGGAAGACAAGGCTTCCTGAAGCCTTTTATGTGGCCGCTACAGAGTCGAGGACCTAAAGCTTTTTGGAAGGAAACCAAGATGCTTTAAAAAAAAATCATTTTACACTATTACGGATTAAGATTTAATTATTTTAAAATGAATTCCCATGCTTATGTTTATTTTATTATTTGAAGAGCTTTCCTTCATCAATAATTTCTTTTCTATTAATGTACATAGGTTTTTAAAATTTATCAATTCGTTCAGGAGGGAGGGACTTACCAATGAATACATTCACCAGAGTTATGCCAATTGCTACTGGAATCCCAGTCAACATAATGTAGAATTTCTGTTAAGATTAAAAAAAAAAGTTTTCACATAACCATTTCCTAACTCTCTTTCCCCATCCTCAAACTGTCCTTATTATGATTTCCTGTTATTTTTTATAAAATAAACTTGCCAAATTGGAGATGCAGTATCAAAAGATTTATTTCTGTGGTTTTCTTTTGCTCTAGTTTTTAGATGCCTAAATTTAACATCAAAAATGAAAGAAAAAAGGATTAACTGTACAAGTATAATACAATATGTATTTAAATAATTTTTCATTTTTTGGTTAAAACAATGTAATGAAAATTAGATATTTTTGTATTAAGAAAAGAACATATAGACTTGTACACCTGAAACCTATATTATTTTATTAACCAATGTCACCACAATACACTCAATAAAAAAGAAGAAAAATGTAAAAACATCAGGCTGATTTTCAGTCACTATATAAAGTCTGAGTTGGCCATGACAAAAATAGTGGGAGCTCACCCAAGGGGATGGAGAGGGGCAGTAAGCACAAGGACAGAGCAAGAGAAGGTCTGGGGCAGCCCAAGCTCAAATGGTGGGTCACAGCTTTAGAAACAGCAGCAGGGAGTCGAGATAGTCTTCCACCTTCTATGCCCCTACTTTCCATTACAGAGCCTTCAGATAATAATATACAGTCAGTACCCTGCTTCAATTTCTGAATCAATGTTCTTGAGCAATACAGAAATAAGATCATATCTCATAATAATGGAGTTCCTTATTTAAAGAAATACTTCAACTAGTTCTTTGGTAATTTAAAGAATATTTTAGTAATACAAATAACTATCCACAAGTAAGTCTGTTTTCAAAATTCTATAATTTATAGATTTATTTTTACTGAGAAACACAGATTATTTTTCAAAACTGCATAATCTTGAGAAGAAAGGAATGGCTCAATATGTACCTCCAATAAGCATAAATCCTTTTTTTGAATAAAAAAGGTTAACTTAAAGAGAAATTCAATAACAAATCTGACCTTACTACCCATCTCAATATCTTTTGAGAAAAGAATATGTATTTACAAAATAAAATCTTTTACAAAATGAAAGATGTTTTCTAAATAGGCCAAAATGTTCTTCCTATTTACATGAAAAGAATTTATTTCAACAAAAATTTTAACTCACCAGTAAATCCAAAAAACGCCTGTCATAGAATCCAGAAGGTTTGATAACAAACAGTCTTTTCCCATGGTCTCCACTGTGTCTCACAGGAGCTGGAAATATTAAGTTTCCCTGTTTTATACAAGTTTCATATGCGTATTTTCTGAGATAAAGTCAGATTATAAGAAAATGTATATGCATAAATGTTTAACATGAATTAAGATAAAAAGTGCATGTTCTTTAAGCATTAAATGCAGGGCAGATAGGGTACCTTTAAACAGAGATTGATGTACTATTCTGAACAATAGCTTTCCTCATTTTTATTCAATGTTAAAGAAATATCTAAACAATTGTTTAATTTATTTCAATAGCAGGCAGGAAAGTCAGGTACTCCTAGTGGGCTACTTTTTTTACCCTCTGCAATAAATATTTGCTAATGCTGCAAAAGAAATAAATTTAAATTATACTATTCCATAATAGGCGATAAACACTAGAACTTGCTGCAAAACACATGGAAAAATATTTATTCAACATACATCCAGCAGGAACTTGAACTTGTTACAAAAGTAAACCCTCTACTACCCTGATGAAATCCCAGTGTAAGCCACTGCTCACTACCAGTACCTCCTCTTTAAATCCTTCCCCAGATGGTGTAATCAAGCCTTACTGGACATGAGGTGAGGCAAACGTCACTCCTGGACTTTCTTTCTACACCACTTCCCTTCCCTGGAAGTCTAGAAAGATCACACAGGCACTCTTAAGCCCTTTCTTCTGGAAGCAGGGAAGGCTGTTACAGGGAAACTGAGGGTTCCTCTGTTTTTGTTGTGCAACTGCATTCTGTATCCTTTGCTCAAGCTTTAGTGTCTGGAATCCCTCCCCTCTACTGGAAGCTGTTCTTTAGGCCCAGATGACATCTTATAGTCCAAGAAACCATTCTTCCCAACCAGGTAAGACCTCTCTTACCTCTAAATTGCTGTCTATTCTAGGAGAGGGTATAATTGCTTTCACTCCCCCAGTGAAATATAAATGTTTTAAAGGCAGAAACTGTTCTCTTAATTTTAGTATCACCTGCAGCAGCTTGCAATGAATTCAGGTTAATTCACACAAAAATTAGAAGCTGGTACGAATTTACTAAGTACAATTCATCCTACTAAGACTTTCAAAATAACAAGATAAGAGAATTTGACAATGTATGTATTTCAGCAAATCACTTGAAAGGTATGGAATTTTTTGTGAACTAGGTGGAAAAAAATGGGCTGGATTATAGTATAAGTACCTACTATATGCAGGTCCTATGCTAGGCCTAGAGTTTAAAGTCTGATGGAAGCAAGAGACTAAACAAATAGATTAACATAATTATGAATCTACAAGGATAACAAAAGAAAGAAACAGGATGCAGTATCAGAAAAGAGCCGGCCCAGAAGTAAAGTTCTTATTTAGACAGGATGGCCCAGCCACTGTGGCTCAGTTGGCTGAGCATCGTCACCAAGAGGTTGCTGGTTCAATTCTTGGTCAGGGCACATACCTGGGTTTTGGGCTCAATCCTCAGTAGGGGGCGTGCAGGAGGCAACTGATCAATGACTCTCTCATTATTGATGTTTCTGTCTCTCTCTCCCTCTTCCTTCCTCTCTCTGAAATCAATAAAAACATATAAATTAAAATAAATAAATAAATAAATGAAGAGGCCTCCCTGGACCCCCAAAAGTTTAATGGCTCACAAAATTAAAATAAGAGTCACTGGTATAATGTGGTTACCAAAAAAAGCCAAGGTAATTTTATCTTAATCTGATGTATTAAAAGTATAATGTCAAACCAGGAGGAGCCCACCACCACCCCAATGTCCATAAGTGTGTCTGTCCCTGAGTATAATGTTTTAGAGGGACAACCTGGAGCATGCCCCCACTTATGCAACCAGGATGAAAAACAAATGGGAATTGACATACTGAAACTTAAAGAACTGAAACTGGTTGGTCTATAAAAAAGTCTGATTAGAGACCAGATGAGAATCTTTAGGGAGCTAGAGCTGTCCCATGACAAAGGGCATGCAGTATTGTGTTGAGCTGAACCGAAGAACTTCAAATGTGTAAAAGAGTAATTTAGAGCTTAATATAAGAAAGAAGTTTCTAACAATTTCAGTGGTTGAAAATAAAACTGGACCAATTCCCCAACTCTCCATTAGGTAGTTATTCAAATATAAAAAATGGGATGTAATAAGGATTAGTATACTATAGGGAGTTGACCAAGAGGATTCTAAGGTCTTTTTCCTCAAAGAATCTGACTATATGGCCTCTCTTAGAATAAAAAGGCATACCTTACGAACTCATCAATCTCAGTGGTATCCTTCCAATTCCAAGAACTCTTTTTGGACTTATTTTCTCCTCTGCCTGGAAGCATGTCCCCAGGCTCTCTGAATGGCTGCCTCCACACATCCTTCAGGGCTAAGATCCAATGTCACTTATTCAAAGGGGTCTTTCCTGACTACATTATCCAAAGCTGGCCTCCCACTTACTCTCCTTAATACTACCTGGTTACAGGCATACCTTGTCTCATTGTGCTTTTGTGCTTCACAGATGTTGCATGTTGAAGGCAAGATCCTCTGCCAGTAAAAAGATCACAACTCGCTTTATTGAGATACTCCATTGCAATGGTATGGAACTGAACAAGCAATATCTCCGAGCTCTGCCTGTATGTCTTTTAGAACAATGAGCGCTAAGCCCAATTATTTTGTTAAAGTCCAACAGGTCAGGGACTGTATCTCCAGTACCCTTTAGTGTCTGCCACATGGTAGGAGCTCTATAAATATTGCTGAATTTACATTTCTTAAGTAAATTAAATGTTGGTAGGGATCTTTCCTTAGTCCCTGAAAGTAAACCTACTTAGAAGAGACAGTGTACTTCCAACTTTCCCTTTCAATCAATCAAACAGACACACATGTGCATGCATGCCACACAGAGAAAGATGTAAAAATTAAACTTGATGTGGTTTTAGGGACAAATGATTACAAATGACACTATAAATAGGTATGGAAAATGTAACAAACAAAAAACAGGAAGACTAGTCTAGCTGCACTCTAGCAATATTAATGCAGCTATTAATGTGAACTGCTTGCTTTCTTTACATATAATTACTCTACTGTTAAAACAATTATTCATGGCATTAAATGTGCTAGAAAACTCATTACTATTAACTGTTCTAAAGTATATTTCATAGCACTAAACTCTTCCCAAGTATTCTGAGCTTTCATACTTGTTTATGTATTACAGCCATGTGCTTACAATTTAAAAATATTAGGGTGAGCATTGCTTACACACAGATGACTGCCAGGATTTGTGCAACTCAGACCCTCTGGCCATGAAAATAGGCATCTCCCACTACTTTATAAAGCCTGGAATTTCTCAAGTATTCATTAATTATGTGGTACTAGGTTTCAATAACAATTTTTTAAAATACAAATTAACTTCTGGAAAGTTATGTTTTGACAACCATGGTCTTTGTGTGGATCAGAGGAAATACTGTAGGATTTTTTGTGTTTCCAAGACAACAATGGAAAATTGGTCCCTTTCTTTCCCTCATTCTCAGACTATTCTCAGTTGATGGCACTAACTCAATCAGCCTGGCTAAAAAACTCATTCATCTTCTTTGCACCTACCCCTCATTCATCAGTTGTCAAGGTCTCTTAATTTTAAGACTCAAACTTTCCATTTCTTTTCATGCTCTCTTCACCTCAATGGTTAAGTAAATTTTCAATTAGTCCACATTCAATACCATTCCACATTAGTTTCAGATGTACAGGATAGTGGTCAGAAAATCATGTACTCTACAGAGTGGTCCCCCTCATGCTTCAAGCACCTACCTGGCCCCTTACGTAGCTATTATGATATTATTGACTATATTCCCTAAGCTGTAATATACATCTCTGTGACTATTCTCCAACTTCTCTTTTTTTTTAGCCGTCTCTCTAAACAGCTACATGTCCCAAGAGCCCCATATTCAGATATATCAGAAAACATAGTTTACTTTTCTTCCTGTATTTGTACCTGTTCAAACTACCTCAGAATCCAGTTATAATGCCCCATCTTCCATGTATGAATTAACTCCATGCCACTTTGATTATATAATAATTTTAATACTAGTCTGTTTTTTAAAACCAAAATATGCACACTAAAAAAAAAAAAAAAAAAAAAAAAAAAAAAAAAAAAAAAAAAAAAAAAAAAAAAAAAAAAAAAAAAAAACTNTTAATACTAGTCTGTTTTTTAAAACCAAAATATGCACACTAAAAAAAAAAAAAAAAAAAAAACTAAGAAAGAAAAAAGAAACAAAAACAAAATATGCGCACATTAGCCTTCAACATTAAAGTTCACTGCAGCTAAGGGGAGAACTTTAAGCTCATTTCTTGAATCCCCTGCTATTTGACATCTAATAAACAAGTTAATTAAATAGAGAAAATACTTTAATCTGCCTGTTTCTGAAAAAGGTTTTCACAGAGGGTAAATAAAAATAACAGGACAGTACTAGCTGTTTAAGAAAGATGTAGCCACAGGGCTCTATAAAAGGCTTGCTAAGTGCTGTACATTTTTCCCACTCACTCCACACAACTATCTTAAAAGGTAGGTTCAAATTATCATCCTTTCTCTCCCTCTCTCTCTCTTTTTTTTTTTTTTTTTTTTTACAGTTCTTATGGTAAGAAACAAGCTCATTTCAAAATGATGTTTCTAGAAATATACAAAATTACGCAGAAATACATTTTGGGCTTCTAAATACTTGTCAATAGGAAAAAGATTAGTTTTATTTTATTTCCCTGAGAAGCAAACAGAACAAGCACACTTGTAATAAACATCCTCTTTTTTTAGAGATTTAAAAAAACAGGTTTCAAGCGATTAAGTGCCCTCCAGTCAGCTTCTAAAATGGGATGACCCAAGGTCACTCAGCTACTAAACTGTGGAGCCAGGACTCGAACCTTGGCAATCTAACTCCAGAGGAAACAAAAGAAGAGGAGGCTCTCTACTCTGCTGGCACTCACACTCTGTAGGAGCAGACAGAAACTAGTATGAGACTAAAACCTTTCATTGCACAGTGACAGGTAAGGCTTCACAGGCAGAACACTTTAGAAAGCAGGTATACAGGGGAAACACAGTAACCCTCTGCGCTATTAGATCCTTTCCTGCTCCCAGTGGGAAGGGCATAGATTACCTGCAACGATCCCTCCATAACTCCAAGAACGGGGGACAGTGGGTAAGCGGGGAATTTTTACCTCAGTTTACCTCCAGCTAGGCCTGATGAATTACTGTCCTGGCTAGAATTTAAAGAAGAGGATATTTGCAATATTTACAAAGGGATTTTATCAAGGAATGTTAGCAAAGCAGTTTTGTAACCGGTACAAATTCCTGCTGGGGATCTGCTGAATACCTTCTTTCCATCATGTCCAGCGAGGCCCGAGGCATGACGCCTCATCGCGAGCCTGCCCGCCCGTCTGTACATTGCTGCGCGTCGGCGGGCACCTCGGCAACGTAACTTCCCACCTTGCGGGAGGAGAACCTGTTCAGGGGACAACGCAAACCCGGCGCCCGAGACACGCGGGTCGCTGCTTCAGCCGCAAATTCGCACCGACTGGGTGGCTGAATGGTCAAGTGTCTCATAAACGCTACTGAATAATTTAAACGCGATCGATCTGATTACTTCAGGAAAACCCTCAAGCCCAAGCCCGCAATTTCTCCCGCCTCCCTCCGGGTCCCAGCAAGGTCACCCTGGAAGTCCTCTCTCTCTCACTCCGCTTCCCCTGGGAGCGCTTTCTCCCAAAGCCAACACCCACCGATAGCCTTCGGAAAGCCACGCGTGAGAAAGCCCCCGAGTCCAAGTGGAGGGCCGAGGCGGCGGCGGGACAGCGCGGCCACCGCAGTGACCGAAGCCCGCTGCAGTAGACTCATAGCCGCCATGGCTACTCCGGGCAAGAGGAACAACCGGGAGACTACGGGAGCCGGGAGAGCCAATTTATCATCCAGGGCAAGCGGAAGGCGGCCATGTTGAGTGAGGGCAAAGGCTGTTTCTGTCCTCTCCTTCCGGCCGGAGTGAGGCACCGGAAGTGACGCAATCACCGGAGGACCCGCGATTTGCTGAGGCGAGAAAGAATGGCTGCTGCCAGTGTAGCCGTTCTTTGCAGAAAAGTGTCAGCCGTTCTGAAGACTTCCAGGTGGTTAATAAGTCCTCAGGCCCCTGCTGGCGCAGGGTAAGTGATGCGAGGAGGAGGTTTGTCCGCCTCTCCAGCTTTGGATCTTGTTTGGTTGCAGAGATGCCGAGAACAGCTCAGGGATGGGAATGCCGCGGGTTGACTTGAGTGCGAGTCCCGACCTGGGAGGAATGAGTGACTCGTTCCTAGTCGTCCACCGACATTTCCGTTCCCGCCTCCTTTTGTTGCCACCTGCTGTGGACTAGGCTGTGCACGGGGTCTGTAGATGCCCGGGGTTGGTTGAATTGGAGCTAGAGGTATAGATGTATCCCGTTTGGCTGGGGGAGTTGGGAAAATTCGCTGAAGAGCTTTTGGCTGTGGACCTGAAGGCAGTGTCAGGCTTGGGTGGATAAAGAAGGGGCCTTTCTACATATGGAATGTTCCCAAAGAGATTGTTCAGTAATGCTGGGTGAGTAAATGAAAGCAGCCAAATAAACGAAAAGTTGCCCTTGCAGGTAGGAGAGAGGAACATCCTAAACAGGGGGTTCATTATTTCTGGAAAGTCGGCTTGTCTCCTAGTCAGACGGATCATTTTTTACTTTAGAGTGTATGGTTTCCTCCCTTTTATTGGCTTTTGTCTATAATGATTTGAATTTTACAAATGGTTGGGTATGCCCGACTTTTTCCTAAAAGGAAGTAATATATGTGCTCTTGAATCTAGCACAATTATTGAGCATCTATTGTGTTACAGTATTACGTACACTAACTTCAGAGATAAACTTTTTTTTTACATTTTACAGAGGCTCAGAGGTTGTAACTTGATCAAAATGGCAAATGAATCCATTGTCTCTTCCATCTAGTTAGCCTTTTTCCTTAAAAATTAATTTTAGATTTTTATTATTATAATATGTTCATTTGCAGACACTTGGGAAAATAGGGTAAAGTATTTTGAAGAAGAAAGTAGAAATCAACTGTAATTCTACCACTCAGAGATAAATAGATTTCCTTCCCTTTTTAACTTTGGATATATACACATACATATAATTTTAAAATCAGGAGTGTATTGACATATATGCATTCTTGGGCTCTACCGTTGTTTCCCCAATTTTTTATTTTAAAAATTTTAAGGCCAACAGAAAAGCTGTAAGAGTAGTACCAAGAATAACCATATATTCTTTATCTATGTTAATCCTTAGCATTTTGTTATATTTTTCTATATCTCTTTACATCCATGGCTTTTTTCCCCTGAACTGTTTGAGGCATGTCAGAATTGCAAGCATCATGACACTTCAGCATATATCTCTTAAGAACAAGAACAGTATTTTAACCACAATACTCCAGTGATAACACTGGAGAATTTAATATTGATACACTGCTATTATTCTGCTACTATTATCTAGCATGTATCCCAAATTCAAATGTCCTGGTGATTGTTTTTCGTTTCTTAATTTTGTATTCAGGGTCCAAACAACAGTCATTCTTTTGCATTAGTTGTCATGTCTCATTAGTCTTTTAAAATCCAAAATGGTTCCTTTTTTTTCTTTTATGATTGGCATTTTTATAAGATCAGTGTTTTTAAATATTTTTTTTATATATGTTTTCATTGATTTTTTTAGAGAGCGATAGAAACATGAATGCATCAACATTGATCAGCTGCCTCCTGCACACCCCCTACTGGGGATGGAGCCCACAACCCAGACATGTCCCCTGACCCGGAATTGAACCATTGACCTCTTGGTGCATGGGTCATTGCTCAACCACTGAGACACTCGCCAGGCAAGATCAGTTTTTTAGAACATCCCTCCATTTGGGTTTGTCTGATTGTTTCCTCATGATTAGATTCAGGTTAAATTCTTATGGGAGGAATGCAACACTTGGCACATTTCACGACTGTATTTTAAATTTTTTACCCAGGTCATTAAATGCTCTTTAAAAATATGATTTTTAAATTACTGCATAATAGATTGTCATATGGATGTACACACAGTAATTTTTAAAATTATTTGGTTGTACATTTACATTACCAACTTTTTAATATATATAATGTTTTGATGTTTGAATGTATCCATTCCCATCTATGATAATTTCTTTAGTTGAAATTTCTAGATGTGGACTTAATGAGTTAGGGAAGAAGCATTGGAGCCTCTAATGTATGTTGCAAAATTAACCACCAGAATAATTTTAATCTACTCATATAGCCACTAGCAGTTTATGAAGGATTTACAGATGTTACCTTAAAATATAATTATGTAGCCCGGCCGGGCATGGCTCAGTGGTTGAGAATCGCCCTAGGATCCAGGAGATCAGGGTTCAATTCCTGGTCAGGGCACATGCCTGGGTTGTGGGCTCGATTCCCAGTGGGGGGCGTGCAGGAGGCAGCAGATGAATGACTCTCTTGTCATTGATGTTTCTCTCTCTCTCTCTGAAATCAATAAAGATATATTTAAATATATATATATATATATGTAATTATGTAAATATATTACCTCTGAAGTTATAGGGTAGGTAGCAACATGTACAATGCAATATTTAAAGTAATTTCTAGTTTATTGTTTCTTGTGCAGAAACCATGAGTAGGTTTTTTAACACTGTAGATGAGGAAGTTCCATTTATTGCTTATAAAATTCAAATGTAAAACTTTAATAACTTGTTTATGTATGTTCAATTGCAGGTTTTCTTTTAATTTGGTGCCTAAGAATAAACCAAGTGTCACATCTTTACACCAGTGTAGAGTACTTCATACCACGTTGTCAAGGAAGGGACTGGAAGAATTTTTTGATGACCCAAAGAATTGGGGAGAAGAAAAAGTGAAATCTGGTGAGATATTTGGGTTGATTGGTATTAAATATATTTTTTGAATCATCCATTGTTTTGGGATTATTTATGCAGTTTAGGAATTACTTGGGTGTTTCCTTTTTTGATTTCCTTTGGGAATGTCTATAGTGAAAATTAAAAGGACAATATAATAGAGTTAATTGTTCCTTGGCAGCTTGGCAAAAGGTTTAGAAGAAGAGTAAGCTGAAATTTTCCACTGAGTTGTTGTTTGGCGTTTGTTTCAGATTTTATTTAAAAAAATTTTGTTTTTAAATGTATTGATTTCTAGAGAGAGAGGGGAGAAGGGAGGGAAGGAAGGAGGGAGAGAGACAGAGAGACAGACAGACATCAGTTTGTTGCTCCCCTTGTTTATGATTCTTTTATGTGTCCTGACCAGGGATTGAGCCTACAGCCTTGGCGTATCTGGATGAAACTCTAAGCAACTGAGCTACCGGGCCAGGGCCTAGATTTTATTTTTTAGTGATAATTGAAAATTAATTTATAATGATAAAAGTATCATTATACATTCTATAGTCATACTAACTTTTTTTTTTTTTAATCCTCGCCCAAGGATATTTTTTCTATTGCTTTTCAGAGAGAGTGGAAGGAGAATAGAGGGGGGGGAGAGAAACATTGATATGACAGAGGCACATGGATTGGTTGCCTCCCCTTGAGTCCTCACTGGGGCAGGAAATTAAGCCTGCAACTGAGGTACATGCCCTTGGCTGGAATCAAACCTGGCACCCTCAGTCCTTGGGCCAATGCTCTAACCACTGAGCCAAATCAGCTAGGGTAGTCATACTAACATTTTTGAATGCTATTGCCAGTCTTATTACTCATATTTTCATGTGTTAGCTAACTTAACCCCAATTTAATTCTAATTATATTTTATACTGTAATATAATAAAGCTATTATGTATTTTACAGATAAGGAAACTGGTTTAGAGAGGTTAAGTAATTTGCCAAAGTGCACATAGCTAGAAAATTATTTCATGTTATGAATGTATCATTTTAATAGGAGCTGCATGGACCTGTCAGCAATTAAGGAACAAAAGTAATGAAGATTTACATAAACTTTGGTATGTATACTGAGTACATAAACATCCACATATTTGAAGCAGTTACAGTAGAACAATGAGGTATAAGAAATTGAGTAAAGTGGTTTGTCTTATAGTACTGTGGATGATATATAAGATCACTAAAGATTTTATAAATATGACAGGTTAAGTTATATTAAGTTAAATGTACCTGAGTTCTCAAGTAGTTGGGGTTTTAGAAATTTTACTGCTACCAGTCATATTACACCTTTATACTAACAATTCCAATAAACTAATAAAATGAAATTGAGAAGAGTTGGTCACATTTAGCCCTTCCTCTTTATTACCCTTTGCATGGTCTGAAATCTTTAGTTTGTTTGCTTGGGGGAAGTGTATTAGGTGCATTTAATTGGAAATTTAAGTAGATTTTCAGGCAGTTTCTCCTGATGAATTTAGAGTTGAGAGGATTTAAGACAGGGTTTTTTTGTTGTTAATATGTTTTTACTGATTTCAGAGAGAGGAAGGGAGAGGGGGAGAGAGAGAGAGAGAGAGAAACAGAGGAGAGAGAAAAATTGGCTACATCCTGCATGCCCCTTACTGGGTATCTAGCCTGAAACCTGGGCATGTGCCCTGACCAGGAATTGAACCATGACCTCCTGGTTCATGGGACAACACTCAACCAACTGAACCACACTGGCCTGGCAGGGTTGTATTTTTAATTGACTGTTTATGTATATATTTTTTTATTAAGGTATAATTGACATGACATTATGTTAGTTTCAGGTGTACAGTGTAATGATTCAATATTTGTATTGACTCATCATTGATATTTCTATTTCTCCCTCTCCCTTCCTCTAAAATCAATTTTAAAAAACATAAAAATAAATAAAGTGCTTTTCTATGTTCTGTGAGTCATTCTATCAAATTACTGAACCCAAGGAAGGGGTCGTTGGAACTCCCACTTTATAGCTGGACAGTCAGATGTATGGTGGCCCTGGAACTTGCTATTTACATCTGAAGTGGGGGACAGTCTTGTGGGACTGAACCCTTAAATCTCTGGAATCTGGTACTAACTCCAGGTAGTTGGTGTCAGAGTTGGAGAAGTGGTGTTGGAAAAGACAGCTCATTTGGTGTCAAGAAGGGAAAAAACCTCTCATTTGGTGTCAGAAGTGTTGTGTGTAAGACAGCACAGATTTATTACAGAAAAATAAGTTGTATTAAACATACGATGTGTAAGTTGTGCCTAAAGCACTATTACTCTGAGTTATTAGTGAAAGGATAGTTAGGGCTGTTTCTTTTTTCTTCTTTTTTCTTTTTTAATATATTTTTATTGATTTTAAAGAGAGAGAGGGGGAGAGGGAGAGAGGAACGTCTGTGAGAGAATCATTGACTGGCTGCCTCCTGCACGCCCCCCACCAGGAATGGAGTCCGTAACCTGACTGGGAATGAAACCCTTGAACTCTTGGTGCTTGACCACTGAGCCACAGCGGCCAGGCAGGGCTATTTCAGTATTCATGATGACAAAAACCAATTCGTCTTCTGCCACTGCTTCCCCCCAAAATTTCTTCTTCCATAGCATGAAGTACCCCAGTTTCTTTGTCTCCTGTTCAGTGCCCTCTACATTTATTTTCTTTCCTTTCTTTCAGTTCTAATTCTTAATCAGACAGCTATTCACAAAACCTACCCTAACTTCAGCCTTGCAACTCAGTACTTTCGATTTTGTTTTCCTTTCCATCCTAACAAATCCCATCTCTGTGAAGCTTTCCAGGATCATCTTAGCTAGAAAAAACGTCTCCTCTCTCCCACTTAATTCTTGTGGTACTTGCTGTCTGTACCACTCAATATACCACATCACATTGTAGTTTCGGAGGCAGCCTAGTGGAGTAAAGATAGAGTAGGTTTTGCACACGGAGTCCAGAATTTGAATCGTGAGTTAGTTATGTGCCCCAGAATACCCTACTTCTCGCAGCCTTAGGTTCTTCATTTAGAAATAATAGCCTGGCCAGGCGTGGCTCAGCGGTTGAGCGTTGACCTAGGATCCAGGNGTTTAGAAATAATAGCCCGGCCAGGCGTGGCTCAGCGGTTGAGCGTTGACCTAGGATCCAGGCGATCAGGGTTCAATTCCTGGTCAGGGCACATGCCCGAGTTGCAGACTAGGCAGCCAATCAATGACTCTCTCATCATTGATATTTCTATCTCTCTCTCCCACTCCTTTCCTCTCTGAAATCAATAAAGCTATATTAAAAAAAAAAAAATGTTTAGAAATAATAACGTCAAAGGGTTGTTGTAAGAATTAAATGAAACTTAAAGTATTTAGCACATTGCCTACAATATAACAGGCACTGAATGTTATTTATATTCCATCTTCTCTCTCCATTTGGAATATAGGGACTATATTTTATGTTTTTTTGTAACTCTCTTGGCACTTAATACAATGTGTGGCACATGGAAAATTTATTGAACAAATGAGTAAAAATAGATATAGCTCAGTTTAAATGGTTATTCTTTGTAATGTTACTGAGATTTCTAAAAGACTTTTGAGAACAGATCATTAATTTTGATGTCAAAAATCACTTTAGTCCTTGGCAGTATAGCTTGGTTAGTTGGAGCATCGTCCCATACACCAAGGGATGGCAGGTTCAATTCTGGGCCAGGGCACACAGACAGGTTGTGGGTTTGATCCCTGGTTGGAGTGTGTGTGGGAGGCAACCGATCGATGTTCTGTCTCACATTGAAGTTCCTCTCTCTCTCTGTTTCTCTCTCCCTCCTTCCCTCCCTCCCTCTCCCTCCTCTAAGATCAATAAAATAAATTTAAAAATTTTAAATCACAAGCTTTGTGTTCTTTGATATAGGTATGTCCTCCTGAAAGAAAGAAACATGCTTCTAACTCTAGAGCAGGAGGCCAAGCGGCAGATACTACCAATGCCAAGCCCAGAGCGGTTAGAAAAGGTAAGGCTGGGCCGCCTGGCATGGCTCAGCGGTTGAGCATGGACCTAGGATCCAGGAGATGGAGGTTCAGTTCCCGGTCAGGGCACATGCCCGGGTTGCTGGCTCAATCCCTAGTAGGAGGCATGCAGGAGGCAGCCCATCAATGACTCATCATTGATGTTTCTCTCTCTCCCTTCCTCTCTCTGAAATCAAGAGACATATTTAAAAAAGAAAACAGGTAAGGCTGTGGGAGGCTGCCTGTTTTGTGGGATAAAGTTAACAGGAATGGGTGTATGGTTCCTCTATTTCTTGTCAAGTAGATATTTTCTATTTCTATTTGATTTTTAATAAATTTAGTTACATAACCATCAGTACTGCCTAATTTTAGAACATTTCCATCACCTGACTCCTAGATATGAAGTTGCTAGGTCATATGGCAAATCTAGGAGTGAAATTGCTGGGTCATATGGTAAATCTGTGTTTAACATTTTAGGAACCAAACTGTTTTCTAAAGTAGCTGCACCATTTTACATGTGTAGTTCTAGCTTAGCCACTTCCTTGCCTACTAGGTCAAAATTTTTTTTTTACTGTGGTAAAAACACATAAAAATGATTAAAATAGTAAATTTTATGTTAAGTGTACAGTTTAGTAGTGTTAAGTATGTTTACATTGTTGTGAAAAGGTCAACTCTTTTTTTAAATTGGGATTTGTCATTTAAAACAATCCGTTGGATTTTTTCTTTTCCTAAAGATAATCAGTCGAATGTGTTTCCTGTTTATTCACCAGAAATTTTCTCCGCTTAGATTTTGTAGAAAATCTGAGCTAAATAGGTTTTCATTTAAATGAAACTAAACTTTTTAAGTGATGTTACAGACACCCATGTATACCTGTGCCAAAAAGATTTTTAGGAAGTATTTGACAGAGTGGTTCTTTGACAAAAGTATTCATAGGCTTTCTGTAGCATAATCTTTTTATGTTCTCTTTCTTTGCATTTCTGTTGTAGGTGATTGAAACTGTATCTTTGTATTCTTCTCAGGTAATAGAATCTATGGATGCATTAGATAAAGTTGTCCAGGAACGAGAAGATGCCATAAGACTCCTTCAGACTGGTCAAGAGAAAGCTAGACCTGGTGCTTGGAGAAAAGACATCTTTGGAAGAATCATCTGGTACATGGTTAACATTGTGGCTTTTCTAAGATGGGAGTGGAAGTCCCACACCTCTTCCCCTGTCCAATATCTTTTAAGAAAACTCACTGTGTAAGATATATTAGATATTTTAGAGAGACAGCTGTTATGAACAGAGGTCCCAAGACCCCTTTGGAACTCTAGGATATGAATGTAGATTTATCTAGTAGTCCAGGCATCCCATTCTCATGATTCTGCTATCTGTAGGTACTTTATAACAGTGGTTCTTAATCTTATGTGAATCGTGATCTGTTGAGGATTTGATGACAGTTGTAGATGTTTTCCCCAGAAAAGTGTGTATGTGTATGTAAATCAGAAGGGTATAAATGCCATGAAACTAATTTTAAGGCACACATCTGTCCTCTCTGCCCATGGAGAACCTGGGAAGATTGCAAAGAAGTTTTCAAGGAATAAGGCGACGTGAACCAGAGTAAGCCCTAGTCCACATTATGAAACAGTTTCTAATCTTGTTTCCTGAGTCCAGTTCCCAAAGTGCTACCAGACCTTGGGAAAAGATCTGATGATAAGCATTTATACCGATAGAAAAACTGAGAAGACCCAGTGTGTTCTCTCTCTGCCAGGGGTTTACTTACTTTTAGGTTGAACTACCAAAAGGAAACACCGTTAATAGAATTTTAAACATTGGTCAGCCAAATGGAGAAGGCATTTTGGTGGTTGGAACCTTCCCTGTACTCTTGAAATTCTCTCACGTCATAGCACTTACTCATTTGATGGATTCTGTAATGGAGTTTGTGGTAGTGAGGCTGCTTGGAGCCACATTGAGGGGAGTAGCTGTGGAGTCTTTAACCATATAATCCAATACAGAAAAGATATAAATTGCTAAAACTTCTGACTAAATACTCTGGTCTATTTTGTTTTCTACAAACTCTTACTTGGATTAATCCAGTTGAGATCAGTTAGGAAAGGATGGGAAAAGGGAGAGAATCTGTCAATTTTAGAATTTCTAAATTCTAAAATAAGGGTTTTATTTTGCTTTTGATTTATTGACAACATATTTAGCCCAAAGAAGGCTAAAACTCTTCATCTGTTTAAATATGTATTAAATGTTTTCTATAAGGTGATACCTTTTTGCTTTCTTTGCAGGCACAAGTTCAAGCAGTGGCCTATACCTTGGTACCTAAATAAAAGGTACAACAGGAAACGATTCTTTGCAATGCCCTATGTGGAACGTTTTGACAGGTGAGCACAAGCACCCTTACTAATGAAACATCTTTACATCAGATGACATGTGTTAAGCTTTTACATAAATACATATTCACTGTTATGCTTTTATTATTCTAGACTGAGACGTGAGAAACAAGCCCGTATCCAAACAAGGAAGAAAAGTTTAGAGAAAAAGAAAGCAAAATATCTTCAGGAAAAGTTTCCACATCTTTCTGAAGCCCAGAAGTCAAGTCTTGTCTAAGATGTCTGAACTCTTGATTTACCGTTTTGTTTTTCTTGGATAATAATCTGTATAAGAAACTACATGTTAAGAGGTTTATGAAGAAATTGTTGTTTTAGTCAAACAGCTATTTTAAGTGTTAATATGGCAAGCTAATTCTGGAAGTGCTCATGCTTTTGAAAATCAGATATAAAATTCAGATTAAAATTTTATGTTATAAATTATAACATCTAAGAAGACTTCAACGTCACCTCTGTCTTAGAATGGGGAAGTAATGTCAACATCTACAGAGAAGGCAATTCCAGTTAAATCTTGACTAATAGTAAAAGGATGTGGAGGTGGTGTGGGTACTGCTGTCAATAAACAATGAGGCCATGGCCAGTGTGCTCAGTGGTTAGAGCGTCGGCCCACACACCAGAGGATCAGGGGTCCCATTCCCGGTTAAGGGCAAGCATCTGGGTTGCAGGTTCGATCACCAGCCCCAGTAGGGGCACCTGCAGGGGGCAACCGATCAATGTGTCTTTCCACTGTCTCTCAAAATCAGTGGAAAGAATATCCTCAGGTGAGGATTAATGAAAAAATAAACAAGAAAAAATAAACATACAAACAAACAGTACTTCCACTGAAAATAACTGATAAATATATTTAGTACTTAATGTAGCAAGTCATAACAGTTCAAAAACATGTTTCTGGAATGGCTAGTAATTTTTATTTAATTTTGAAAGCCTAAGGTAAAAAGCATAGGCAATGTTTTACTCATCAATAAAAAGCAATCCTACCAATCCACTGGTAATTAATATACTAGGCAGAGTTGGAAAGCATTTGACTGAAAGCAAAATATTTAGAGAAAATAGACATTTGTACAAAATTATAAAATGCTTGTAATAAGAATAGGTGCATTCCAAGGAAAGCACAAACTTATTTTAATTTATAGTCAGTTAAAGCCTTGAAAAATTTAAGTGGAAATTGAAATATGCAAAAATGTATAAACATTCTACAAAAGATGGTCATTCTTTTCCTGAGTGTACTAAAGCTATGAAACATAAGGTGACAGGAAGGTGGAGGTGTGGGAGCACTTTTCAAGGGCATTTCCTTTCTACACACTGCTTCCCTCCTTCTTCATATTCTTGTTTGGAAATCCACATCTGTTGAAAGGTGCCCTGTAAAATGGAAAGAAAAATTGTATCTTTATTTTCACAACTCCTATCTTTGAAGAACTCTTAAACCCCCTCTCCCCAAACAGTATTCCATTCCCCTCCGCTTACTTCTGTCCTCCAGAGCACCCACGGACACCACATAAGGTCAGAAAGAATATTAAATCCTATACCCGTTACACTGTCAGGAGAGAAAGGCTGTGAAAGGCAGGTGGAGGGTTTAGCTGTGACGACTTGGTGCCAACCTAAGGCAACAACAGAAACTGTTGGAAGGCTTGAGCCTAGTACAGAATTGAAGAGATGGTCTAGGATTGACTAATGGTAACATTTAGAACTGAAAAGTGCTCATCAAAACTAGGAGAAAATTTTGCAAGTACACGTGATAGTAACAAGCACTTCACCAAACAAACAGAAGGTGAAAGGAGGAAAGTGACCCAAGGAGGAAGGAACCTGGGCTACATGACTAACTCTTCAAGTGCCTTCATACATGGTATCTAGGTTTTGACCTAAGGTCTGCTAGAAGACGAAATAGACCATAGACAACAAACACATGCATGGAAAGTTCCAAACATTTCATTGCTTAAAAGTGTTTAGCATAAGAACTTGGTGACATTTATTTGATGGCTCTGAAGAGAAGGGGACATTCTCCCATCTAGGGTGCAGAAAGTACAAGGATTTTTCCTCCTAGTTCAAGAAAGGCGCCAGACTAAGCAACATGTAAAACCCAGCACCGTGACTGCACCATCTGCCCCAAGAACCAATTCAATTTCTTCTACCTCACCGACAGGCCAGGGAGCAACCAGAACCTCAGAAGGATTGATTCCGTTTCAAAAATGCTGCAGGTAAGATTTGACTAGTGCCAGTGAGAGTGCTACTGAAAGGGGTGAATATGTTAAGACTCCCACATCTGAGAGGATACTGAAATTAGGCTGATGAATATCCACTAATAAGGCAACAAAGCATTCTATTACATTTCAACATGTGAAACTGGTATTAGATCCTCTGCTCATTTGATAGCTATAAAATGCAAAAATATAAATGATGCACTGGAATTACTTTTAGTCTTTTTACTAAATTTAGTGTTTCCAGGGGTATATTTAAGTTAAATCACTCAACACCAATTGCTAACTATTTTTCAGAGTAACTTATCTACTCACCAGAGAAGCTAGAATAGAGCCACCAATCCATGAACTAAACCTCCGTTCCACTGTTGTATTATTTGCAATCAATTTCAACCGCATACTCTAGAATTGAGAGGGAAGAATAAGTCTTATTAATGTGATCAAATACAACAGGTGACTCAAATTAGGAAATTTAGCTTTGAGGACTTCTCAATGACTGGTTTAAACAGATTATACATGATATTTTTGCAAAAGCTAGGCTTATAGTAGGCATATGTTCAACTACTGTATAGGAAGATTTCTTAAAGTACTTTATGGATTCTATGTGTAATATTTAGTAAGAAAATAAATTACATAAACCTTTGCCCTGACCAGTATTCTCAGTGGTTAGAGGGTCGACCCTTGCATCACAGGGTCTCGGTATCGATCCCTGATCAAGGGCATGTACCTTGGTTGCAAGTTTAATCCCCAGCCTTGTCTGGGCATATGCAGGAGGCAACCAATTGATGTTTCTCTCACATCGATGTTTTTCTCTCTGCCTCCGTTCCACTCTCTCTAAAATCAATGAAAAAATATCCTTGGGTGATGATTAAACAACAAAACAAACAACAAATTAATACAAACCTTAGAAAACTACATAGTAGAGTATAGCATTTCCTTTTTCTATCCTGTAACTGCAAACATATTCTTGACTCTTCTATAAATCAGGCACGGTGCTAAGTGCTTCGCGTATTACTTCATTTCTTCCAACACCAACTCCAATTATTATGCCAACCTGCAGCCCTTCTGTAGTCCTCAGTTTCCTCACTGCTCCTCCCACAGGCTTCACGCTACCCCAACCCTTCTATCTCAGTTCTCCCCTCCTCACCCCACACTCTCTCCCACTCAGAAAAGAAAATGCAGACATCAGACCTCAGGGAAGTGTTTTATTCATACTGCTTTCCTTTCTAAGTAGTGTTTCTGTTTTGAACTCACTCTCTCTCCATAAACATGTTTTTGCCTCAGCACTATCACCCTTACTTCCTGAATCAAGACATTTTTGCCATCTACCTAAGAATTTGCTACTGGGCATAGTTCACAAATTGTTGATATTCTAAATATGAACACATAATGTGAGTCTTTTTCAGTGAAATAAACATGTGGCAGGAGTAGACTATGTTGTATGGGCAGGAAGGGATACTGGGAAGGGGAGGGATGAACAAGGGTTTTTGTAGGTGAGAAATTGGTTGGTATCTATTACAACGGAATTTTTGCCTGTTATTTCATTAATTTTTAATTGCCTCCTAAAGAATAAGATAGTACCTAACATGTCTATATTCACTATTCAAGGATTTTCTAAGAAATCCAATGATTAGCACTCTAATTAAGGTATATTCCAGATCAGACTATATTTCCAAGAATATTGTAAATACAAGGCAAAAGTCAATTTGTGCCTCTATCAATATTTAACACAATTACAAAAATGTGGCATATGTAAAATGTTCCTTAATATGGGAAACCAAGACTATCAAATAAATATACAAATACTGTTAGTGTCTATGTTACCCTTAGTAAGTTTTGTATTTTATTGATTTTTAGAGAGAGAAATTATCAATTTGTTCCGCTTATTTATGCATTCCTTGGTTGATTCTTGTATGTGCCCTGACTGGGGATCAAACTCCGCCAGGGCACCCCTAATACATTTTTAAAAATAACTTTAGAATACCTTGCAGGAAACTATGTGATAGAAGTTTTAAGATCTAAAGGTTATGGCTGCTACTCTATTATCAATATACCATGTATACCACTTTCTCAAACCAGGTTCTCCTACCCTTTTAAAAGTGATCACAGTGCACACAGAGATTGTTTTAAAACAAATCTAGGAGCTCTTCAGTCCTCTGCCAAATTCGATCCTTTATGTTTACTATTAATAAGCGACTTGACCTGGTACATATCTGTGGCTGTGTCCCCCAAAGAGCAGGTGGGCCCTTAATCCATGATGACTGGTGTTCTTATAAGAAAAGAACAGACCCACAAGGAGAGAATGCCATATGACCACAGAGATAGAGACTGAAGTGTTGTAGCTGTAATCCAGGAAACACCAAGGATTGGTGGTAAAGCCTCATGCTAGGAAGAGGGAAGGAAGGATTCTCCTCTGTAGGTTTCAGAGAGCATGGCCCTGCGGACACCCTAATGTCAGACTTCTCACTTCCACAGCAGAGAGAGAATACATTTCTGTTGGTTTTTGGTGTTTTGTTTTTTTTTAGCTTAAATAAAAATCTATTGTCTCATACTCCTGGACGACAGAAGTCCAAGATCGTTATGCCCGCCGATTCTGTTTCTGGGGAGAGCTCTCTAACTGGCTTATAGACTGCCAAATTCTACCTGTGTCCTTACATGGGTAAAGAGAGAAAGATCAAGTTCTGTTGTTTTAAGCCACCCCCTTTGTGGCACTTTATTACACCAGCACTAGGAAACTAAAACACCTTCCATCTAACCAGCCTCATCACTCTCCCCACTTCTACACAGAGAAGTCAGCTACTTGGAGATTCTGTAGTATTGTGCACCATCTTCCCTTCATATTGTGCGCATGGTTCTCCCTCCACCTAGATGTCCTGGCATAAGTTACCAATCACTTAACTCCTATTCAAACAGCTTCTTCATGAGGCTTTCCTCTCCTCAGTGTTCCCAAGAGCTCCTGGTTCATGACACACTGAACCACTGAGCACATTACAGTCATTATTCTGTCCATGTCTGAGCACTTGCTGGGCAGGACTGTATTTTATATCCCCTAGTGACCACAGGTACTAAGGTATGGAATCAATGAATAAAATGAGATTCAAATAGTGCAAGAGTACCTAATAGATGTCACCTAGGAAAATGTGATTAATGAGGGACTTTAACTTTATTGAAGTAACCCTGTACCAGGCACACACAAAATATCAATCTGCTGAAAATCAAACCTTATCTACAAAACTGCACCAGTGGTGAGGATACAGGTGACTGAAGAATACCACGAAATAACAAACGGGACTTACTGGGGGGGTTTTCTGAGAGAGTTCTCTATTCAACCTGTCAGTAAAGCTCTGTATTAGCGTGTTTCCTCCAGCCACTATGACACTG